CTGCTGCTGTTGTTACTGCTGCTGTTACTGCTGTTGTTATTGCTGTTGTTGTTACTGTTGTTACTCCTGCTGCTGAAGCTGAAGCTGCTGCTGCTGTTACTGCTGTTGTTACTGTTGTTGTTACTGTTGTTACTCCTGCTGCTGAAGCTGCTGCTGTTACTGTTACTGCTGTTACTGTTACTGCTGCTGTTGTTGTACAGTTTCAACCCCGTGAAACACATAAAAAAAGCAACAACACTTGTTTATAAAAGACTTCTTGGCGGCCCACTCAGTTAGGTATTGATTATCTCCTCCACAGCGTGTGTACTACATCTCCCTTGAGTTCTACATGGGCCGCACCCTGCAGAACACCATGGTGAACCTGGCCCTGGAGAACGCCTGTGACGAGGCCATGTATCAGGTAAAAAAAAAACAACAAAAAAAAATCTCATTTACTGCCTGGACATAAACAGGGACGGCTCTCTGACCCACTGTGACTCACCGCCGCTCCCTGCAGGTGGGTCTGGACATGGAGGAGCTGGAGGACATGGAGGAAGACGCCGGTCTGGGGAACGGCGGTCTGGGCCGTCTGGCCGGTGAGCAGCTTCAGAGGATTTTAATTTTGTTTTTTGTATAAACTCCACTGGTGTTTTTTTCTCACCAGTTATTTCTGGTCCTCAGCCTGTTTCCTGGACTCCATGGCTTCTCTGGGCCTGGCTGCCTACGGCTACGGCATCCGCTACGAGTTCGGCATCTTCAATCAGAAGATTGTCAACGGCTGGCAGGTTAGTAACGTCAGCTCGCAGGTATGTCGCTGTCTGTCCTTTGTCGCAGTAATGACCTGATATTTCTCTGCCTTCCTGACTGCTGAGAGCCTCCACACACACACCGTGTCGTCACTCCCCGCCTCCCCCCCCCCCCTCAGCAACTGTCCTTGATATAAATTTATGTCATTATCCAGGTGGAGGAGGCTGACGATTGGCTGCGCTATGGCAACCCCTGGGAGAAGGCCCGTCCAGAGTACATGCGTCCTGTGCAGTTCTACGGCAGGACTGAGCATCACCCTGATGGAGTCAAGTGGGTCGACACCCAGGTACGGGATTTTAAAGAGAACCAGTGCAGGAAAAAAAGATAGGATTTGAATTTTAATAGGTTCCTAATCAGGGGCTGTTGTTGTTTAACATCAACCACTTTGAACTTTGACCTTCTTCAAACTATGTCCGTGACTCAAAATCCAAAAAAAAGGGTTTGGACTCGATGTTAACTCAGAGTTCACTTCACTGAGTCTGAATTCAAACCCGTGGACTTGGACTTGTTGTTAGGTTTATAGGGACTTAGTTCAGTGACTTTTTCTGGTGACTTGACCCGTGACCCGACCTTTGACCACGTCCCACTGTGTCACCGTATGGACAGGTGGTCCTGGCTCTGCCGTACGACACTCCTGTTCCGGGCTACAGAAACAACGTGGTCAACACCATGAGACTGTGGTCGGCGAAGGCTCCCTGCGAGTTCAACCTCAAAGACTGTGAGTGTTTTCTTCGTTTTACTGCGTTAGCTCTAAAATAAATAAAAAATAAACAGATATTGATGAAGTTCTCTCTCCTCCCCGACAGTCAACGTTGGCGGCTACATCCAGGCCGTGCTGGACAGAAACTTGGCTGAGAACATCTCCCGTGTGCTGTATCCCAACGACAACGTAAGAACCTGAGACTAAACCAGCCGTTAATCCAGCAGCACTGCATTCTGGGTATTCATGCCCATGTTAACCTGGATTAGAGGCGGCAGGTTAAGACGCGGACCTTTGGTCTGTAAGAACGGGCTTATCTCCACTCCACTCACAGATGGATTTCCATAAATTGGACATCAACTAGAGTCCTTTGTCATCGTCCGCCGTCGTCTCCACGGGTTCTTTTAGTCTTTTCCCCTGAAGCTGTCTGTTACATTCTGCACTTAGACCCGGGCCGCTCAGCACCGGCTCCCTGAAGGCTGAAGAAGAAGGATTTGGGAGATAACCATCTAGCTGCAGATATAACTCATGTCAGCCGTGGTAATTTATGTCTGTGCCAGAGAGAGCAGAATCTGCGGTGAAGCAGACGTTCCACAAAAGACCGCAGGATTGTTCTGTCACAATTCACCAGCAGAAATGTGTGCTGTCAAACCATTAAACCACAATGAATCTGATCTGTCACCGAGTTGCTGTGCATTAATCACTCTATCGCGATTAATCGTGACGGTAATTAACTGAAAAAAAAAAAACAAAACAAAAACTCACCATAGTTTGAGAACCACTGATTTGGTGTTTGTTCAAACACTTAGCCGTAACAACTGCCTCTCTGCTACCGCCTGTGGTTACGAAGCGTTGGTGCACATTTACCCACATTAGCATAAGAGCATACAATTATAAATGGATGTTTGCTGTTGTGCTAAAATGTCCATAAGTACATGGTGATTATACTGCAGCTGTGCTGGAACAGGGTTTGTTTAATGAAGTTTGAAGAAAAAAAACAAAAACCCACTGCCTGCAGAGAGAATGAGACAAATGTGTGTTTTTGTTTCTTTACCCTCAGTTCTTTGAAGGGAAGGAGCTCCGTCTGAAGCAGGAATACTTTGTAGTGTCTGCCACCCTGCAAGACATCATCCGCCGTTTCAAGGTCTCCAAGTTTGGCTCCAGGGAGGTTGTTCGCACCGACTTCAACAAACTGCCTGAAAAGGTAAAGTGAAAACTTGACAAAATGCTTTCTGTCAGCGGGGAATAAAAGATTTCCCGGCGTCTCTCTGCTCTGAGTCCTGGTTAAATTGACTCTGTCAGTGCGTGGAGCCCGTAGTGAAAAGGTAAACGCCGTGGACGGGATCCGATTGGGATCCTGGGATTATTACGATACCGTACCGTTGATGGATTGTTCGTTAATGAGCTTCCGTCGTCTCCGCCTCCTCCTCCAGGTGGCCATCCAGCTGAATGACACCCACCCGGCCATGGCCATTCCCGAGCTGATGAGGGTCCTGGTGGACGAGGAGAAGCTGACATGGGATAATGTGAGGAATAATCAACGTTATATTTTTAATCTTCTATGATTTTTCTGTTTTTTTTTAATTATTTTAATTTAGTGTTTCTCTGTAGTTAAACCTGAAGAGCGTGTAATTATGTCCTCCTGTCTGTTGTCCAGGCCTGGGACATCTGTGTCCGCACCTGCGCCTACACCAACCACACCGTCCTCCCCGAGGCCCTGGAACGTTGGCCCGTGGACCTGTTCGCACATCTGCTCCCACGGCACCTGGAAATTGTCTATGAAATCAACCGTCGCCACCTAGAGGTTAGTGCTGCTCATTACCACATAATTAATTGTCGATGATGTCATATATCACAGCGTCTGGTCTTTTATTGTTTTACTCATTTCTCAATTTAAATTAAAGTAAAATTTTACTAATTTTTTTATTCTGATTCTATTCTATTTTTCTTTCCTGTTACATGCTAATAAAAAGTAATTAAAGAGTGTAGCAAACAAAACAAAAAAAAACTCACTCATGATTTTTTTTCCTCACCTCTTTTTGTTCAGAGAGTTGCTGCTCGTTACCCTGGCGACCACGACCGTCTCCGTCGTATGTCCCTGATCGAGGAAGGCGGACAGAAGAGGATCAACATGGCCCACCTGTGCATCGTGGGCTCCCCCCAAAAAAAAAACAAAACAAAAACTCACCATAGTTTGAGAACCACTGATTTGGTGTTTGTTCAAACACTTAGCCATAACAACTGCCTCTCTGCTACCGCCTGTGGTTACGAAGCGTTGGTGCACATTTACCCACATTAGCATAAGAGCATACAATTATAAATGGATGTTTGCTGTTGTGCTAAAATGTCCATAAGTACATGGTGATTATACTGCAGCTGTGCTGGAACAGGGTTTGTTTAATGAAGTTTGAAGAAAAAAAACAAAAACCCGCTGCCTGCAGAGAGAATGAGACAAATGTGTGTTTTTGTTTCTTTACCCTCAGTTCTTTGAAGGGAAGGAGCTCCGTCTGAAGCAGGAATACTTTGTAGTGTCTGCCACCCTGCAAGACATCATCCGCCGTTTCAAGGTCTCCAAGTTTGGCTCCAGGGAGGTTGTTCGCACCGACTTCAACAAACTGCCTGAAAAGGTAAAGTGAAAACTTGACAAAATGCTTTCTGTCAGCGGGGAATAAAAGATTTCCCGGCGTCTCTCTGCTCTGAGTCCTGGTTAAATTGACTCTGTCAGTGCGTGGAGCCCGTAGTGAAAAGGTAAACGCCGTGGACGGGATCCGATTGGGATCCTGGGATTATTACGATACCGTACCGTTGATGGATTGTTCGTTAATGAGCTTCCGTCGTCTCCGCCTCCTCCTCCAGGTGGCCATCCAGCTGAATGACACCCACCCGGCCATGGCCATTCCCGAGCTGATGAGGGTCCTGGTGGACGAGGAGAAGCTGACATGGGATAATGTGAGGAATAATCAACGTTATATTTTTAATCTTCTATGATTTTTCTGTTTTTTTTTAATTATTTTAATTTAGTTATATTTTTAATCTTCTATGATTTTTCTTTTAATTATTTTAATTTAGCGTTTCTCTGTAGTTAAACCTGAAGAGCGTGTAATTATGTCCTCCTGTCTGTTGTCCAGGCCTGGGACATCTGTGTCCGCACCTGCGCCTACACCAACCACACCGTCCTCCCCGAGGCCCTGGAACGTTGGCCCGTGGACCTGTTCGCACATCTGCTCCCACGGCACCTGGAAATTGTCTATGAAATCAACCGTCGCCACCTAGAGGTTAGTGCTGCTCATTACCACATAATTAATTGTCGATGATGTCATATATCACAGCGTCTGGTCTTTTATTGTTTTACTCATTTCTCAATTTTAATTAAAGTAAAATTTTACTATTTTTTTTATTCTGATTCTATTCTATTTTTCTTTCCTGTTACATGCTAATAAAAAGTAATTAAAGAGTGTAGCAAACAAAACAAAAAAAAACTCACTCATGATTTTTTTTCCTCACCTCTTTTTGTTCAGAGAGTTGCTGCTCGTTACCCTGGCGACCACGACCGTCTCCGTCGTATGTCCCTGATCGAGGAAGGCGGACAGAAGAGGATCAACATGGCCCACCTGTGCATCGTGGGCTCCCACGCCGTTAACGGCGTGGCCCAGATTCACTCCGACATCCTCACAGCCACCATGTATGTCCATAAATGATTCCATCGCTCACGTTCCTGTAGCTCTCCGTGGTGCTGAATCCTAATTAACTGCAGGGCCGCGGCGCCTGCCTGTGTGTGTGTGTGATTTCATCTATTGTGTGATCCATCTACTTAATTCCACGAAGCCTCTGTGGTGTCAGGGGCAGCGCGGTGTCCTGATGTATGCTCTGCTCCACTCTGCCTCCAGCTTCAAGGACTTCTTTGAAATGGAGCCTCATAAGTTCCAGAACAAGACCAATGGCATTACTCCCCGCCGCTGGCTGGTCATGTGCAACCCGGGACTGGCTGAGGTCATCGCAGAGGTCAGCTGCAGCTCTGTGAACACAGCCACAACATACTTATGATAAATTATGACTTAAAAACGCTGCAGGTTATTTTGATTTTTTTTTTAATGTATTTTATTTCTAATTAGAGAATTGGTGAGGACTTCATCCGTGACCTGGATCAGCTGAAGCGTCTCCGCAACTTTGTCAACGACGAGGCTTTTATCCGCGATGTTGCCAAAGTCAAACAGGTGAAGAAGAGTCAACATTTGTTTTCTCTTGACCGTGATATGAACGGTTGAACAAACGGTGAACAACCATCAGTCAATCCACAATAATCACATCTAATCTGTTACTCTATCAGTCTGGACTGATGTCACCGAGGTCACGTCTGGTCCTGATTAGAGGAAAATGTCAGATAAAACAGGACATAATTTGCAGTTGATTAGAGGAAAATGTCAGATAAAACACAACAGGACGTAATTTGCAAAAATACTGACTAATTACAGTACGATTTTAATATGTGTAGTAATGTGTTATTTACTGTAATATTTGATATTTACAGTAACATTAACATCAGAATCTGTAGAAAATTAAAAACAAAAAAAATCACTTTCTCTATGTTGCTAACAGGAGCAACTATTTTTAAATAACTAAATGTCAGAGTCTGCCCCTGGTATTGGCAACATTAGCCTAAGCCCAAGGCGCCATCTGCTGGAAAGCTTATAGCATAAGCCATTTCATAAAAGAAAAAAAAAAAACAATAGGTGGCGCCAAACTAAAAAAACGTCTCCTGTCATGAAACAAGATATTTAATCTCAAGAGAGAAGTGCTCTTTTATTAGGAACAATATGGCTTTAGTGTTTTATACAAACTACACAGTATTAGAGGTAAATGTTTCTCCTTTTTCCAACATGATGTAAGATGTTGATCTGGAGAATATTTGTCTGTGTTTTTAATTGCTGACATAACAATTAACACTTATTTTCATTTAAGTAAATTTCAGTTTGTGTAGCACAGAGCACAGAGCACCCAATACTCTTTGGTGCTGTACACCTCCAGTACAACCACTTCTTCTGTTCTCCATTTTTTTAAGCTGCACAGACTGATGTAAAAATGAAATATGTAACTGAACCTCCGGCAGGAAAACAAGATGAAGTTCGCCGTGCACTTGGAGGAGCACTACAAGGTGAAGATCAACCCCAACTCCATGTTCGACATCCAGGTCAAGAGGATCCACGAGTACAAGAGGCAGCTGCTCAACTGCCTGCACATCATCACCTACTACAACCGTAAGACTCAGACACAGACACAGACACAGACCAGTCAGTGACTTAACCTGTGGACGTCTCCTTCAGGCATCAAGAAGGAGCCCAACAAGCAGTGGACCCCGAGGACAATCATGATTGGAGGAAAGGTTTGTGGTTTCTGTTTGTTCTTCCTGCAAATGTGGAGGTGACCAATAATCTGTCATTTCTATTTATTTTTTATTTTTTATCATTAAAAAAATTGTGGGCATGAAGAGGCAAATGTGGAGGTGACCAATAATCTGTAATTTCTATTTATTTTTTATCATAAAAAAATTTGTGGGCATGAAGTGGACACCGACCGGCAGTTTGAGAACCCTGATAAAAAGTTGCTATAAAAAAAGTCACCAAAACTGACTTAATTTTAAAAACTACTGTTTCTCTGACTCCCTCTGCAGGCCGCCCCTGGTTACCACACCGCTAAGATGATCATCCGTCTGATCACGGCCATCGGTGAGATGGTCAACAACGATGCCGTGGTTGGAGATCGTCTGAAGGTCATCTTCCTGGAGAACTACAGGGTCACACTGGCAGAGAAAGGTCAGTCACCAAACTCTGTCTGTTTTACCACCAATAAAGTGCAGTTCAAAGGTCGTGGGGGGGGTGAAACTCTTCACTAAACACCCATAGGAGGAGGGGCAACAGGAAGTGTTGACTTCTTCTTCGTTTGTCGGCCTGATCTGAATAATAAACATTTAGAGTCAGAAGATTCTCTGAGTCTTCTCTGGTTTTTCAAAGACACAAATGAAAACCTCGGTGCATCGACATCCCAGACTCCAGGACTCTCTGTTGTTGTTGTTGTTTTTCTTCCGCAGCCGTCCCTGCAGCGGACCTGTCAGAGCAGATCTCCACGGCCGGAACTGAAGCCTCTGGCACTGGAAACATGAAGTTCATGCTGAACGGCGCCCTGACCATCGGTACCATGGACGGAGCCAACGTCGAGATGGCCGAGGAGGCCGGCGAGGATAACCTTTTCATCTTTGGCATGAGGGTGGATGACGTGGACGCAGTCGACCAGAAAGGGTGAGGCGGGGGAGACAGAACCCCTGTCCTTCAGTGAGGACAACTCACATACGTTTGTTGTATTTCTGGAGCTTTCCTGCACAGACTCAGACTTCTCTTAGTTAAAGGCGCGGCCCAGGGGATTCTGCGGGTACTGCAGGCTCCGACTGTTCTTTGTGAATGAGCTGGTTTCCATGGAAACAAGCTTCTGTTATTCTTCCCCCTTTCTTCCCTGAGTGTGTTTTTTATTTATATCTGGTCCTGCTTAGTTACCACGCCGAGGCGTACTACAACCGTCTGCCGGAGCTCAAACAGGCCATCGACCAGATCGCCACGGGCTTCTTCTGCCCAAAGCAGCCTGACCTGTTTAAAGAGATCGTCAACATGCTGATGCATCATGACAGGTAAAGGCAAATCGACCATCAGCGGCACGAGGCACACACACACACACACACACACAAATATGTATCTGCAGTAACTTGTACTGTGGGACAGAAAAGAAAAGAAAAACAGAAATCAGACTTCTGCACACACACACATACACATATACTGGTTTTAGGGTTTTGTGAGGTTGTTCTTTCGGACTAATCCTAATCCTCATTCCATTGAATCAGTTGTCTGCGTGTTGTTGTTGTTTTCATACATCTGTTGAGTTTCTGCTCCACAGATTTAAAGTCTTTGCAGACTATGAAGACTATATCAAATGTCAGGAGAAAGTCAATGCTCTTTATAAGGTGAGTCCAGTTATTAATTATTGATAAGAATTAATTACAGATGACGAGTTCTCGGGGGCATCGTTAATACGTGTGTAATATATGTCAAAGTATAAGGACTTTATTTCAGTGAACATCAGGATTCTGTTGTTGTTTACAACATTAAAATAAAATGCACAACAATCTTCACCGACGTGTCAGTGTCTCACACACTCACCCTATGACCTCACCCCTCCACCAGAACCCCAAGGAATGGACCAAGAAGGTGATCTACAACATCGCCGGATCCGGAAAGTTCTCCAGCGACCGCACCATCGCCCAGTACGCCCGTGAGATCTGGGGCATGGAGCCCACGCTGGAGAAACTCCCCGCCCCCGACGACATGCACTAAAGTGCCTCCAGGACAGTCAACGAACGACCCCCCCCATTCCCCTCTGACAAGTACCACTTCACAGGGCAGTCTCTGCTCAGAATGACCCCCCCCCCACAGACCCTGCCTCCACCTGTGGTAACTGCCCTCCGTTCTCTGCCACGGACTGGAACATTTTATACTTTTTAACGTTCACATCCTCATCCATCTGTACTTGTTACTGTGGATGAAGGGTCTCTGTGGGGGGGTGGGGAGGGGGCAATTGGTTAATTTATTGGTGATAATGTTTTTTGTTAAAAATAAATATATAAATAATCTCAAAGATTTTCCACTCAGAAACTATTCTGGAATAAAGAAAATCTTGAATAAACATTTTGTTTTTCTTCTTTTTTTTTATTCACATATTTTAATTTCTGGTGGGAATTAATGAATAAATGGGGTAC